GCGCCTGGTTGCTGTGCTCGCCTGTGACGGCAGAAGAACCACGGCCCCGGAGGCCCGCCGGCCGCAAGGCTGGCGGGAGTGTGCGCCCTGGTGCCTGCTGTCCACTCAGACCCGCGACGCCAGGGCCTCTTCCTGGAGCTGCGGGCCACGGCGCAGACCTGGACGTGTGGCTCACTTGGCCCCTGGCCCCACCGACCTGCCTTGTCTTTGTGTTTAAATAGGTACATGTGCTCCCTGTCACTGTTCCACTACTCCGAGTACCTGGTCACCGCCGTCAATAACCCCAAAAGCCTGTCCCTGGACTCCTTTCTCCTGAACCACAGTCTGGAGTACACAGTCGCTGCTCTTTCTTCTTGGGTGGAGTTCACCCTTGAGAATATCTTCTGGCCAGGTCAGAGCGCCCCGCTTCTCTCTGGAGGGGAGAGGGGCTCCCCTCGCGTCCGGGAGGACAGTGGCGGGTCAAATGCTCAGGCCTGGCCCCGGCGATTACGCCTCACTCAGCTGCACGTGGGAGTTCTGCTCCGGGTGTGGACTCGAGGACGCGCCACCTCTCGCCTTCGCCCTGCGCAACAGGGCGCGTCTCCGGGCAGCCCCGCCTTGGCCGTGGCGCCGGCTTCCGGCCGGAGGGGTTGGGTCTTCCTGGCCTGGGGCTGGGAGTGTCACGGGAAGATTCTGTGAGCAGCAGCCTCTGCGCCCGCCGAAGCGGCTGCCTGCTCCGCAGATGGAATGGCACCCCAGGCCTCAGCGGGGCCGAGGGGGCCCGACGCTCCCCTGCGCCTAGCTGGCCGCGCCCCGGACGGCCCAGCGCTCGGGGGGCCCTGGCCGAGACCTGCTGGTCGGGCTGGTGGCGCTTTACCGTAAGTGGGCGGACAGCAACTGGGGAGAGCGTATTTTGCTTACGATGAAATTTTAATGGGGTGGCCAGTGCTAACTGTCCGCCGCTCGCCGCCTGGCCGCTCTCTCTGGAGGAAGCGGGTCGGTCGTGAGCACCCGCGGCAGGGGCCAGCCGAGGCCTCACCTCCCTGTCACTCGTGCCCCGCAGAGCTGAAGCAGATCACCTGGCTCAGTGCCGCCGGGCTGCTGATGGTGGTCTTCGGAGAGTGTCTGAGGAAAGCGGCCATGTTCACGGCGGGGTCCAACTTCAACCACGTGGTGCAGAACGAAAAGTCGGAAACCCACACCCTGGTGACCAGCGGGGTGTACGCTTGGTTCCGGCACCCTTCGTACGTCGGCTGGTTTTACTGGAGTATCGGGACCCAGGTACAGTCGCAGGTGCGCCGTGGCCGCTGCCCTGCTTTTGCACAGCTCGGAGTGGACCTCTGTTGGGCGCAGCGAGAGCGCAGCCCGCGCGCCGGGCAGGCGCTGGGGCGGCGTGAGGCCGCCCGTCCCTCTAGACAGGTCCG